TTCCCACAAGATTTCTCACACTTATAGCTTGAGAAGCAGATGGAGCTGGGGTTGATCTTGGCTCTGTTGACTACCCTCTAGGTACTGGACAGTTATTTAGTTTTCCAGAGCCTTCATTTCCTCATTTATAAAATGGGATAAATAACCCTGACCTCATAGGTTAGCTGTGAAAATTACATGAGCACACACACACACACACACACACACACACACACACACCCTGGTACATAACAGACACCAAATAGCAGTTATTACTTGTATGGCCACTTCCTCAGGAGACCCCTAGACAGCATGTGGCCTTGAGTTAGGTACTGAAAAAGGAAATTATGACATCTTGAAATCTATAAACCAACACAGAAATTAGCTTGTTTTAATTACAGTTCTCCACTATTAATTACAAAAACTGAGCAGATGCCAGTCAGTAGACACATGTGATACAGCTAACCCTCCTGATACCATAGGGAGGGGCTTACCATCTCAGTGCCCAGATGGGATTCCAGATAAGACTGAGTCCTGAGCACCCAACTAGTGACCCTGCCATCTTCCCTCTCAGTTGCTTCCTCGCCTTTCCAGCCTGTGCCTGGGAATCTTGGGGTATCACATTGCAGTAAGACAGGCCCACAAAGCCTTTATTGTAATCATGGTGGCTGTCAGCTTAAGGTTGTTCTCATCAGGCTACTTTTGTTGAACAAAAATAGCCCCTTAAACTTAGCAGAGACTCCTCAACCTCACATGTTCAGAAGCACTGATACAGATATATGGGCTATTTTTCCTGTTTCAAGATGTCCAGTTGAAAACAATCACCCCATATACAACTGTGAAGGCTAAAAAAAGGCACTGTTTTGTTGACTTGGCCTGGAATGACACCAATTCTTTATGAGGAGACAGGTTGTTTTACCTGGTTAGAAATTCTAAAGGTGCCTTTCTTATGTCTTGGGTGAATTCAATGAGGAAATTATAATAAATAAGGCCTGTTTTCCAGGAGAACAACTTATCAAAACTTGAACTCCCTAAGAGAAAATAATAAGAATAAAAACAAATGCCCATGGAGATGAAATAACTGGGAATCAGTGAGTTAAAAGGACACATCAAAAGTCATGGAATATCAGAGACAAGACATAGACTACCAAGAAAACATGCCTTCGGATCTACGGGGAAGGAACATTGTGTATGAAACCTTGAGGTCCCTGCCACATCTACGTATAGGAATCCAGAGCCCTGTGTGGTAGACACAGCCCCATCCACATGTATTCCTAGACCCTGACCAGAGAGCCAGTTGGACTTACTGGACTCACACAACCACAAAATCTTGGGCAGGTAGCAGATCTGTGTGGAACTAAGCTCAGCACATAAGTTCTTGAGCAACCTATAACCTGCATAGCTAGATCAACATAGGTTGATCATGTTTCTCTTTAGAAAGTAAGAGTTAGGAACTGAGTGACAGGCAATTTGTAGTAGAGGTAGATGTTAAAGGTGATTGGAAAGCTGCCTCTGATAGAAGGAACTGGGGCAGATGCAGTGAGCTGCAAAAGTGGATCAAAGTTACCTGGAAATGGGAATGCATGATGGACAAAGAAATCAGTCACAGAGGGCAGAACGGAACAAACATACAGAGGAGGAAGTACTTTATGGGGCATGTGTGTGGAAGGCTGGGGGCCACCGAAGTTCCCCTGTTACACGTCTGAAAAACAGTCTCTGTCTTTGGGTTCCTTGATGGGTTCATTATATTCTTGAAATGCATTCTACTTGTTGAGCTAGCTTAAGTGGGGGTTTTAGGCCTAGCACACAAATGGGCCTGATTGCATCACACCACCCAAATCTTTGGGGTACCCTCCCTTCAAATCATATCACCCAATAATGCTTTCTAGAAGCAAAAGGTCATAAGGTACAAACTGGCCTGAAATCTTTAATAGTCTCTAATAGGCAGACTATAGGGAGGACTTTAAAAGTCTATGAAGCCACCCAGCCAGGATCTATTGAGGCTCATTCATGTATCCAAATCAAATATACAATGGTTCTGTTCTCTACCTGGCAACAAGCCATTGTCTTTTCTGGTGAGGGGACTGCCTCGCCTCTTTTACCTGCAGGACACTATATCCGTTCACATCTATTGAGTCTCTTCTTTGTGGGTAGAACAAGAGGCAACACTGAACAGACCTGACACAGCTGCTATAGGTTTAGGATGCTAACAATAATATGGCCTGGCTTTAGTGAGGGCCAGAGAGTCTGTGGGCTGTCAGAGCAAAACTGAGGTGAAAGGAGGGGACCAAGTACTTTGAGACTTGCAAGAGACACAAAAAAGTGAGTTGTCCTTAACTGCAGAAGAGTTATGCTATTTGTCTATAAATATCTTGGCAGTATTTTTCCTCAGTGTTGTAGGGAAAACAGCATTTCAAAGGTTTGTATTGGTTACTTCAGTGTTGCTCTGACCAAAATACCCAATAGAAACAATTTAAGGGAGAAAAGGCTTATTCTGGCTCATGGCTTCAGAGGGCTTCAGTCCATCCTTGAGGGGAAGACAAGTTAGAGTTCACAGTGGTAGGAACTGCTGTTGAGACTTCTCAGATGACATGGACCAGAAAGCAGAGAAAGCAGGCTGGATCAGATATAAACTTCAAAAGTCAGTCAGACCCCCCACCTCTTCCTGAACGCTACAAAACCTTTAACATAGTACCACTGGTCAGGGAATAAGCACTAAAAACATTAAGCTGGTAGTGTTTTAGATTCCAACTACACCAAAGTTCTAAAACAACGTTGATTAGACTGAAGAGAAAAGACCTAGCTTAATCTGGAGAGAAAAGGGTTTGATGCTCCTTGGGCAATGTAGAAGATCTGGAGCATTTCTTAGACAAGTTGTTCACTTATCAAATACTTATTGAGCACCACTATGGTCCCAGATGTCTCGTCCCATGAGACAGTCAACATGGGAACCTGGAGAGAGGAGAGGGGACTGAAAGGGACAAGAGATGTGAAGAATGGAGACAAGACAGGCTTTCTGATCAAGTCTCATTTATTGAACATCTACACAGTTTTTATAGGGAAGCAGAAGGGGAAGAAGCTAGGTGGGTAAATTCCATTGTAACAGCACATTTGTTACAAGACCCTTGCAACAGAAGTAAATTTCAAAGTTAATTGTAAGTTCCAGTAAAGACCGCAATTTCACAGTTAGATCACAAGTTACAATAAATTTCACAGTCACATCACAAAGCCAGATTATTCCACAAGATAGAGAAGTCTCTCAACTGTGGTAGAAAAGGTCAGGGCAGAAAAACATGTTTTTTACAGTGCCACCTGGTTAGCCTTTAACTGGGTCAATTGTTGATGCCTGCAAACAGCCTGTTTCACAGACAATGGTTGCTGTTTTCTGGGGTGGGGGCCTACGGCTCCCCACACCCAGAGTTCGCCAGGCACATGGAGGAGCAAGGCCAAGTCTCAGACCAAGTTCTAAGTGCAGTGCACAAGAGACAAGAAGCTTAGGAATGCTCTAGTACTTTTGGTGCAACATCTGCTCATAGACAGCCTGAGATGAAAGGCAGAGGCTGGGAAGCTGAAAGAAATGGAGTCTAGGCTCACTATAGACTCTTCCTCTGTGTGTGTGTGTGTGTGTGTGTGTGTGTGTGTGTGTGTGTGTTCACGTTTGCGTATGGAGGTATGTGGGGGGGCAGAGGTCAATTTGGGGATCCTTCGTTTGGAGATAACCCACCTTGTGTGTTTTGAGACAGTCTCTCATTGGTTGACTTGGAACTTACCCATTAGGTTAGGCTGGCTGGCCAGCAAGCCCCAGTGATCCTCCAGTCTTTACCTTCTCAGCACTGGGCTTACAAGTGTGCCACTGAGCCCTGCATTTTATAGCTATTTAGGTAGGTTCTGGGGACCAAATTCAGGTCCTCATGCTTCTTTGCAAAGTACATCACAGACTGAGCTGCCTCTCCAGGCTCAGCTCTTTCCTTTTGATTTTCACTTGGATCACTCCCTCAGGATAGTATTACTGTATTTCCTTGGCTACTAAAAACAATCTTAAAATCAGCATTTTCCCCTTACAGCCAGACACATGCACAAAAATACTTTTCAAGTCCAAGAAAACTGTCATGCAATGTGCTGTGTGTGATCACTTAAGAAAGGCACAAATGTACCAAATCACCTGAATCTCAGGCCAAACTGTACATTTTCAACTTTATCATCAACACCATGTTCACCGGCTACACTCAGGCCCCACTAGGGAGACAATTCGCTAGCCCTTGGTGAGAAATAGGCCTCACCTATTAGAAGTACAACCACACAACCAGCTTGGGCAGCCAAACCGTGGGCAATAACATCCTACAAGCTTCTATTTATTGTTGCATCGCTATGGTAGTGTCCCCTTAGCATCGAAGGCAACCTGGGAACCTAGGAATTGTGCTGGGTGGGTGACCAGTCTTCAGACCTGAGAGCAGAAAGGGCACAGGGAAGTCGCGAGCAACTCTACAGGAGCAGTGCCTGCGTGCAGGGAGCCCTTAAGGGACAGTTCGGGCTTCCTGCTGGTACCTCGGAGGGAAATTCATGTTTTCCTAGGTTATGGGGAAGCAGTCTGCCTGCCAGAAGGGACCATATAGAGTATTTAATCAACAAGCATTAGCCTGTTCACAGAGCGCATCCCCTGCCCGGTCCTCCATTTCGCTGTGCTAAGTGGGCAGGGAAGCCTCAGAGAAAATCTCGGTGGGATGAGGTTCCTGCTGTAGGATGGTGGTGGACAGGAGGAAGGGAATTCACTAAATCATATTGGAAAGGACGTCTAGGATGGGAAGAATTAATCCAATGTGGGGAAGGCAGATAGGACTCGAAGGGAAGGGGAGAGGGGACAAGGTACACTCAACCTTTCATCACCGGCGAGGGAGATGGATGGTTTTCCGGGCCAGGCGTCTGGGCGCCCCGGCTCGCAATAGGGAGACGTCAGAACGCTCCGGTCCGGGGTGGAAGAGCCCCCGGCCCCTCCCGCCCAGGCTTCCATATAAAGTCCAGGGCCTCGTGGAAGCTGCAGCAGTGGCGCGCAAAGCGGTAGTGGCGGAGCTCCTCCGAGGACCGGTCCTCCAGTTGCTGCAACGCGGGGACAGCGTGCTCTCCGCCCAACCTCGCCACAGCACTCCGAGGGCTTCCCGCCGGGATCATGCGCTGCCCCGAGCTCCCGCTCTTCCTGTTGGCGCTGGTCCTCTGCCAGGTGCCTCCGGGGCCAGCTGCCCCGGTGCCTGCTGGCGGAGGGACAGTTCTGGCCAAGATGTACCCGCGCGGCAACCACTGGGCAGTGGGTGAGTGTCCGGACTGTGAGATCCCTGCGCTCTAGTCCTTGGAGGGTCTAAGCAGTTAAGGGGCGGGGGGGGGTCCTCTCTCCCCATCTCAGCGTTTTCCTAAAAACACCTATCCCATCTCCCCCGAAACTCCATCCCATCCTATCCTGTCCTGGGAAGCTTGGTGGGTCCCTCGCTAGCCACAGACTGGTCCCTTGATCCCTTTCTAATCCCTTAGTGTCTGTGCGCATCTCTGACTTCCTCACCGCATCCAGGCTGGCTCTCTAGGCGTTCTCCCGAACACCCCAGCCTCGCGTGCAGCTCATCTTAGCTTCGAAACTACCCAATGTCTCTTTTATCCACCCAACCTTGACTCTATCTGGCAAGGGGCTCTCCTTGAACAACTTTGGGGAGCGAGGTCCCTGAGTGCGTCCAGGATCCTGGTCCAGCCCAAGGGACTCAACCGCCGCCACCGCCAGCGTGAGCTTGAATCCAGGCTGCGCTATTGCACTGAACAGCCACAGGTTGTGAGGACCTGGGTCCGGCGCTTCTGGCCTGGGTTTCAAGTGCGCTCAGCGAGTGGTTCTCTTGAGTTTTCTCAGTCCTTCTACTCCCTTCACAGTAATATTCTTTTCCTGGTTCTTATGCCCTCATTTGTCCCCCAGCAGATTTCAGGAATCTCGCCTACTCTCCGAGCTCACCTCGTCCCTGCTGCCTGAAACCCAGCACTTTCCCAGTCCCTTAGACCAACGATTTCACCCTCTTCTTTCTCTCCTTACTCTTTTCTTCTGCCAACAAGTCCTATTTTCCAGGCACAGGCTTCTGGATCTCTTTGTCCCAGCCCCCCACCCCCAATCTAGGCCAGAGGACTGTCCTGCAGTGTGTGTTGGGGGAAGGCGGTAGGGAACTCGAGAGAGGGATCGCGGCCCTCAGAGCTTTTCAGAAAATAGGAGGCCAGTAGCAGCTAGCAGCTCCGGGTTCACCCATCAATTCTCGACAAGCAGGCACAGACTCGAAGAAATGCAGAGATCAAGGTCTCTAGATTCTTTTGCCACCCCTGTGAACTGCGACCACCTCAGTATTTCCCTAGTCCTTGCCCTAAAGAGCTTGTGTGTGTGTGTGTGTGTGTGTGTGTGTGTGTGTGTGTGTGTGTGTGCGCGTGTGCTGGAAAGGTACTTACTAAATCAACTGAATCTCAGATTCTAAGTACAAAAGAGGAAGAATTTGGGGGTGGGGTTAGAACTGTGACTCCTTGGTTTCTCTGTATTGTTTTGCCAGAGAGATCAAGAGCATTGGGCTGCCATCCTGTAGATTATTTATTTGCTAAAAGTCTCAGGGATGAAAAGATTTGTGATCTCTGACGACCACTAGGACCCCAAGATTCTGGGGCAGAGCAGCATGGGGTTTGGGAGAAGCTGCTAAGCCTGCATTTCTTGAATGAAGGATACTGAAAAAAAATTAAAGAACCCAAATTTAGGACTAGTAATTGTTTACAATAGGCTTTTGGGAGCTTAGCTCAAATGGCCACTGTCTGATCCATTCTCCATGCAGTAAGAAAGGTAAACTGATGTTTTCTATTGTCACATGAAAAGAGCTTATGATATACCAGGACAGCAGAGGTGGCTGGGGAATCAGGTATCATATCATTTGTGGTGCAAGCCAAGCGAACTCTGATCTGAAGTTCTGGAACTGGGATATTTGGGTACCTTTCCTTAGTCATCATCCATAGTGGTACTTGGGTATTCCGAACTCCAAATACAGTGACCAGTGCAACCTCAAATGCACTCTTTCTAATTTAATTTGATTTTTTAGTGCTAGGGATGGGATGCAAGGCCTGCACACACTAAGCAAGTACTTGACACTGAGTTATACCCCAGCCCCTACTGTATCTTTTTTTTAAAAAAGTTTTTAGATAAAGTCTCCTTAAGTTGCCCAGGCTGCCCTCGAACATGCTACATAGCACAGGCAGGCCTTGTACTTGGGATCCTCCTGTCTCAGACTCCTGAGTGACCAACTGTACTCTTTTTCTTTTTCTCCATCCTTTGCTGGCTAAGCAAAATTAGATAACAGCAAGAAAAATAAGGGAGGCGAAGTAGAAAAATCACACTTCAGCTATAATTACATTGTGTTTGGGGGACAAAACAGCTGTGCATCAGGTAGGTACCACTGGCATATGAACATCAACAAGGATGAGTGATATTGTTAGACTTTAGGTTTAGTTTTTGAATATCCCAAAACAATGCTTATCCTCTCCAGTTGCCAAAGACACACAGATTGGGGCATTTTCCCCTCTGTTTTGTTTCTTTGAATTTTGGAGGGACTAGGAGTGGAGCCCATATTAGAAAGTGATCTATCACTGAACAACACCACCAGCACTTGGCTTTTTGAGAAAGTATAGCCCAGGCTAGCTAGTATACAGGCTAGCTCTGTATAGCCCAGGCTAGCCTTGAACTCTCAATTTTCTTGCCTCAGTTTTCATAGTGCTGGAATTCCAGGCATTTGCCATCATACTTGGTTTAGTCACACTCTAGGACTAAATCTCTATTATTGTCTACAAGGAAGATGTCAAGCACAAATTTGCAAGCTCTCTAAGATAGTTTCTTTTTGCATGGTGCAGCAATGGAAAATGAGTTAACAGCTTGAAAACTTCCCAAATTCCTCCTGTGTGACTTGATGCTTATGGAAGTGTTTTGTGTGTGTGATGAAACTGCATGTCAATGTGAACAGTAGTGACTATTCCCTGTACTTCCACAAAATGCTCTTAGTTGCAACATTAACTTTAATGTGACGCACGATCGAAGACCTGCATTGGGAGACCCAGTGTCTGACTATACACAATCATTGCCCAGATGCATCAAAAACTGAAATTCACATTATGGACCCATAAAGACTATTCCTTTTTTCCCTTCCATTTCCGTGTGTGCATTTGTGTGTGTGTGTGTGTGTGTGTGTGTTGTGCATGTGTGTATGTGTGCATGTTTGGATGTGTGGGGGCATCTGTGTTCGGGTGCCCACAATCATCCTCTATTGCTTTTCCACCTTATTCATTGATGCAAGCTCTTTCAATCAAATTCTGAGCTCAAAGATATGGCTAGTTTTGCTAGCCAGCTTGCTCTGGGCGTCCTCTGCCTACCTCTTCTGAGGCTGGAATTACAGATGGGCCACCATGCTCACCTGTCATTTATATGGGTTCTGAGGATTTGAACTCTGATCATGTAAGTGCTTTAACCACTGGAGCAATCTCCCCAACCCCATAAAGACTATTTCTTAAAAGTACACAACACTTTATATATACATTTTTATATATTTTATTTGTTATTTTTATTTTATGTGTATGAGCATATTGCCTGCATGTATGTGAGTGTACCCATGTCATGCAATGCTGTGGAGGTCAGAAGAGGGCTTCGATTTCCCCTGGAACTGGAGTTAAGGATGGTTCATCGCCTCCATGTGGGTGCTGGGAATCCAACCCAGGTCCTCTGCAAGAGCAGTCAGTGCTCTTAACCTCTGAGCCATCTCTCCAGCCCCAACACTTTATATTTTAATGGCTATTTTCTCAAGTTAGGATAATTTCCAGGTTCAACTTTGAAAAAATTCATGAATGGCTATTTTCTCAAGTTAGGATAATTTCCAGGTTCAACTTTGAAAAAATTCATGTATACTTCAAATGTGCCCTTTAGTGGTACATCAAATGCTTTTAGGGAACCCCATCTCTTTCCCCACCCTCTGAGAAAGACTTTATTTTTTTAACTGCTTGTCTTTTGTCTATACTGAGATCTCCATTATTTTGATATGGACATATGACAGATGATGACGGAAGAGGTAGAAAGGCATTTCATCCATGTTGCCATGGAGATGATGATTTGGCTGACAGTAGCCAGCTCAAAACTGAAATCTGACCCAGGGAATGTGTGCTTCCCTGAGATATTATAGATGGTGCACGTCCTTTAATAACCAGCTTGTGGATGGAGAGGTGGGGAGCTGAACACAACATACCTAGGGGGAAGCACTGACATTTAGTTCAGTGTCCTCAGGATCTATGGTAAATCAATATGGGCAGTGGCTCTATCCTCCCATTATAGAAAAGTCCACAAACTTATTCAGGCGTGGCAAAAATGAAGTTCTTCATAAAAATATTTTTACCTCCCACCCCACTGCTTCATTGGCAATGATTCCTTTCTCATTTCCAGCATCTTAACTAGATGACAGGCAATTAGGGAGGCCAAGAGTGACCGAGGTCATTTCTGGGAGCATCAGAGTTCCAATGCTACCTTCCAGTCATCATGATTCAATTTCCTCCATGTAACTAAAGCTGACGCATCAGCTTCCTGTGAAGTTGTGCAACATAATAACCGTTAGGGCCGAATGCATGGCTATTTAGGGGACAGCTGGGCACCAGGTTAATCTAGCAGATGAGTGAAACAATGTAAGATGCTAATCTTTTGTTTGGGACAGTGTCCTTCACAGGGTCTTCAAACAGTGTGAAGAGTTCTCTCCTAAGTGACTTGGCAAGTGCTTCCTCTTAAAAATCTCATTTGAAGGCTTCCCAATACTAACAGAATTTTTTCCAAGTCATATGATGTCACAATATGCTGATATATGGTCCCTATTCCTCCTTGTAACATTGGCTATTTATAAATCATATCTTTATTTCCATATCTAAGAATGATGCTTTACTTCCCTAAATTCTTGGAAACTTAAAAGACACTTCAAAACAGCATAATGTAATAGAGACTTAACTCTGAGCTGATTAGAATCCTAGAACCTTTACTTATATCTGTGAGACTTCAGTAAGTCTTATTTTCACCAACCCATTATGGTGTCAATCAAATGAAAGAATCCACATTAAGGCATTCTGTAAACTGTCAATTGCAGCTCACGTGACAGCAATAAAGCTACAATGAGGACATCTCTCGTCAGGTGGACAGAGCTGCTGGAAAAGGGGCCTTTTTCAATTTTAAGCAACAGACGATCATCTAAGTATTATTTCCATAATGTTTCCCTGGACTATGTCCAATGCCAGTCAATGTTGGAACCACAAAGACTTTTATTTTGCTGTATGCTTTAAATCAAAAGCAGCAAAAGTCGATTAATAGTAGAAAGTTCAGTTTCAGAGAAGTGAGGAAAGTCAACTAAAGAAGGCAAGAAACTCCAAGTGTATTTATGCAAAGGACAGTGTTAAGAATATAGACCCGGGGACAAGATGTCTTAGCAGGTGAAGACACTTGTTGAAAGGCCAAGCCCACCCGACTTCAAACCCCAGAGCCTATATGGTGGAAGGAGAGAACCAACCCCTGTAAGTTATCCTCTGGCTTCTACACATGCACTGAGGCATGTGCGTACATGTACACATGAGTACACACACACACACACACACACACACACACACACACACACACACACACACACACACACACACACAATGTTAAAAACTAAATAAAAAGAATGCAGACCCGGAATTGTCCATCCATTTCTGATGTGTTATCCCCATGTGCATTTGTGAATTTCCATGCTTTTAGTACTTTGGCCTCTTTAACTGTACCAATCAATAATCAATTAATCAATCAACTAGTCTACTGACCATTTGAAAGACCCAAGAGAGACTCTGCATCGATGTGGCAACCATTAGTAAGAACTTGTTTTCCAACTTGTTTTTCATTTCAGTCTTCATCTACCACCACTCTTAGGTGAGGTTTTCTAGATTCAATTTCAGCTAAAATTCAGAGAAAGTTAAATGAAAAATTCCTTTGGTACAATTGTAAATCACACAAAGAAATGCACCAAGACTTTTATTATCAGCAGCAACTCAAAATTGGCCATGAAAGATGTTGAAATTTCATCTTTCGGGGGGAATAACATTCTGTGCACACAGAATTGATTTTAGATTTGGAAGGTTCCTTAGAGGTGATCTGACCCACCCTATTCCTTTTATAACTGAGAAAACTGAAGCCTGGGCATGCTAAAGCACTTGGCTGAGGTCACCCTGCTGGTTAGTACGGATGCTGGAGTCAAACGCAGGGTACTGAGTCACAGGTCTGAATTCTGGCCAGTTTACTACACATTTTAACTGAGAGTAAAATCTCTGTGTCGTGTATACACTAGCTCCTAGCAATAAAATAATGTGGTTTAGTTTGCATTTAAGAAAAAGTAGAATGTACATTATTGGTGTCCTTTTCAGTTGTTCATCTTTTGCTCCTCTTGGTTAAATTTGTGGCATTCTTGTTCGCTTTTGTTTTTTACAGGGCACTTAATGGGGAAAAAGAGCACAGATGAGTCCCAGTATGTGTCCAAGGAAGAAAGCCTGAAGGAGCAACTGAGGGAATACATCCGCTGGGAAGAAGCTGCAAGGAATTTGCTGGGCCTCCTGGAAGCAATGGGGAATGGAAGCTATCAGCCACCACAGCATCAGCCCCTGGGCGATCACCAGCCTACTTGGGATACAGAGGATAGCAGCTATTTTAAAGATGTAGGTTCCAAATGCAAAGGTGAAACTAACAAACTTGAGAAGTGGGGTAGGAGGTATTTGGGAAAAGTTGAAAGGAGGGGAAATTCAGTCAAGGTGCATAAAACTGCTTATTGTGTATGTTATTTTTCTCACAAAATACCTGACAGAAAGCAACTTGAGAGAGGAAGGACTTATTCTGGCTTACAGTTTGAAGGTACAGTTTATCTTGATGGTGAAAGACATGGTGACTAGAATATGAGGCGGCTAGGCACAGAGAAAGCATGGAGAGGTGAATGCTAGTGCTCAGCTCACTTTTTCTTTCCTTCCCTTTTCAGGACCTCAGCCCATGGGATGATGCAATTCACATTCAGGATGAGTTTTCCCACCTCGATTAAATCCATTGGAAAACTCCCTCAGAGGGAAGCACTGGGATGTGTCCCCTAGGTGATTCTAGATTCAATGAAGTTGACAGCATAGCTTACCATGACATGATATGTCTTCATAGTCCATAATTAGGCCAACACCCATGCATGCTAAGAGATTATTAGATAACTTCCATGTTATCTTTCCTTTCGGGCATAGCAGTTTTCTCTTAGAATAGAAAGAATACTAGTTCCAAAGACCAATTTAGGAATTTGTATTAGTAATTGTGTTCATTCAAACCATTGATAATAGACTTCACCAGAATTTTTGTTTGTAGTCCAGGGTGGTCTCCAACTTGAGAGTCTCCTGTCCCAGCCTCCTGAGTATTTGGAATTACCAGCGTGTGCCACCATGTCTGACTTCCTACTAGAATATCTTGATAGTAAGGCCATAGACTGTATTTGAGTAAATCCTGCTGTGTCTATTGATTTGTTTATTTTTGAAAAGCACTAGGGGAAGGAAGGGCCTATCTGCAGAATATCTTCTTTTTAGAGGAGAGTGTCTTGTTTATATAAAAAGTTGTATATTTTCCTACTTTTTCCAAGATCATGTAATTTGGGTTGCATTCTAATATTCAAAACTCAGTGAACATATCTGAAGTCAACTGATTTGTCCTAGGTATAATCTTACAGAAGATAGGGCGATAAAATAACACCAAAATGGTAATGCTCCCATACAAAGACAGCAAATAAATGAGACAATAGATTTCATAGGAAGAAAGTAAGGCAGCTGGAAGTGAGGTGGCTATCGCCAATGTTTAAGAAGTGTCCATGAAACATACAGTAGAAGGGAAATAGTCATAGCAGGTGAAGACCCTCTCTGCTTCCTGGCCACCCTGAGGTGAACTGCTGTTGCTGTCTCATGCCCTCCCCACCACAATGGACTGAAACCTCTGAAATCATGAGCCAAAGTAAATACTCCCTTCTTAAAAATAGTATGTGAGGCTGGAGAGATGGATCAGGACTTAAGACTGCATGCACACTGCTCTTGCAAAGGTCTGGTGTTCAGTTCTTAGCACCCACATCTGGTGGCTCACACCACCTGTAACTCCAGCTCTAGGGGATCCGATTCCCTCTTTTGGCCTCTGTAGACACCTTCACTCATGTATGTGCATGTGCATACACACAAAAATTAAAAATAATAATGTAAGAATAGTAGTGGATAGTTTTATTGTTTACTATAATCCAAATACTAGGATAAACAATATACTCCATGGAGTGAGGAGTATGCTCACAATAGTGTCAGGAGGACGAGTCTTTTATTTATTTGGTGTTGAGACTGGAGTCCAGGGCCTTGAACATGCTAAGGCATGTGCTCTACAACTGAGCCACATCCCCTATCCCTGTACTTTAGAGGTGTGGAAACTGAATCACATTGCTTCTCATTGATGATGCCAGAGCAAAAGTCCAAGTGCTGGCTGCCTGAGACAGTCATTGACTTGCAGATCCAGGGACTGGTTCTTATTCATCTTATTGCACAGGATGCAGGATGAAGCAGATAGCCTTGCTTCTCTCTGTTCCTGGCAATGGATAATACTACTTGTGACTCACAGAGCTCAGAGACTTCCTTCTTCACTCCTTCATGGTGGTTAGCTTTTTGATTGATGGCCCGCTGCAGAATCTCAGGGTGGCCTCTCTGGAGGGAGGCTTTCTATTTTACATCCCTTCTGTCCATTGGGGACTTTCTATGTTAAATGCAAAGTAAAATTTCTTTTGTTGCATGAAGGACCTAGAGAGAAGGTCCTTTAGTATCTTCCACTCAGAAGGAAAATCTAGATCAAACGAACCAATAGAGAAATCAATACCAATGTTCTGCAGAGCTCTGAGTGAATCTTTTGTCATAACTATGTTTGCAGGTGTTAGATGATCAGTTTCCTTCTTTGTCAGAAAACCACAAGGTCTGAGGGTGTTGTGAACCTAGAGTTGACTTCTCTCTCAGTCCCTACTTGGCCATGACTTTTCTTGGTTGAGTGCTATCCGAAAGTTCCTATGAACTTAAGAACCATGTCCTTCTCGTTTGTTCGAAGAACACAAACATCGCTACTCTTAAAATCCTCAAAAATTTCTACATGCATTGAAATGCTTTGCTCTTGTAGCTCATTTGTAAAACACCCTCTATAAACACACATAACTGTGTTTTATAAACACACATAACTGCAGTGCATCATTATCTTAACCAAACAGCAGTGCCCAGTTGGAGCTGTTTTATTTCCTGAACTTGGCTCTGTCAATCATTGAACTCCTTTGAAAAATTCAAGTTCTTCTTCAAGGATCAAACATTTCTCATATTCAGAAGAATATTCAAAGCTTTGAGGACAATTCTGAAAGAATAGGTTCGGAGAGGTCTCTGTGTACCAATATGATAGGATGGATTGAGGAGACAGCCATGGACAGAGACTGCTTTAAAAGGGATGCTACGTCTCCCAATGTAAGTAAGAAAAGGTTGTTTTCATCTGACCAGACCTTGCTTTCTGCTCTTTATGTGCTGTTTTTCTTTTCCTAAGCTTAAAAACGCCCATCCCATTTCATTCCACCTCACCTTGAATAATTAGCTATTGCACACATCAGTCCTGTTTTCTCAGATACATTTCCCAGTAATGTGAAAAACAAATTCAATAGTGAGTTTGGTCTACGGAGAGCAAGACCGTTTATCATTCCTCTTGCTTTGGACATTCCGCCTCAATGAAAGTAAGTCATTATGAAAATTGAAACCATCTTATAATTATCTTATTCAAAAAGAAAGAGTGCCGAGAGGATTGGTCTATTAGAAATCCATATATTTCCCAGTGTCAGAGAGAAGTTTAATAATCTAGTCAAGAACTGCCAGAATTAGCTGCAGGAGCTTCCAGAGGCTGAAGGACTTTGTTTAAAATTAAAAACTCTCCACACATACTCTCTTCTCTCACCGCAGCCGTAAAACATCAAGTCCCGTTGCCAGTCTGCCCAGAGCTGTAGTTAGAAACTGAGCATTTCCTATGTTTTGATGACAAAGATATTTACTTAATTCAGAATGCTGTGTGGGAATGTATGCTGAATCCAGACTAGTGGCTCATAGCAGACAGGCTCCCAAGCTTTGCTAGCAAGAATGGCCAGTCATGTTGAAGTTAACCCTCATCTTTCATTTACCCTTTCCCTTTTCTCAAATCTTGTAATGCTACCCTGAAAATAATGGTATTGTTACCCCACTGTTTCTATAGCACGAGGTAAGTTTCAGGTCAGCACCAGAGTCTAAGCCATAACCTTGGACTTGGCTGTGGAATGTACTGATAGTCACTGAAGGATTTCTTTGTAACATAGATCTGTCCATTGTTCTTTGCAGCCTATGCTTTTCTTTTCATTTGTGGGCTTGAAGAAAGGGGGTAGAGAACGAACTCCAGAGGTTATTCTAAAAAGGAAACAGATGTGTAAGTTTAGCTTCACTTTTTTTCTTTCTATATTGAGATAGGGTCTTGCTATGTAGCCCAGGCACCCCTGCCAGCACTGGCGTTCCTTCTGCCTCAACCTTTCATGTAGCCGGGACTGCAGGCATGTGCCACCATGCCCTAGCCTTTGTTCTCATTTTAAGGGACCCCTCTTACTGTCTTGTCAAATCAGTATGAAGAAATAGAAGCATTTGTTTCTCATTGTTGGAAATGTTCCTCTGATGGTCAGCTTTCATTGTCAACTTGACACAACCTAGAATCACGTGGGAAGAGAGTCTCAATGAGGAGCTGTATGCTTTGAGTTGCCTGTGGGTGTGTCTGTGGAGCATTGTCTTGATTCACTTAGTTGATGTGCTGAAGACCCAGGCCACCAAGGGTAGCATCATCACCTAGGCAGGAGTTCCCAAACTTTAGGTGTGGAGAGATCAAGCTGAGCACCAGCAAGTAAGCAGTGAGCATACATTTATTCATTTCTCTTTACTCTTCACTGTGGATTGATGTGACTAGCTGAGGACCTGCCTTGACCTCCCTGCTGGGTTGGACTATTACCCAGAATTGTGAGCTAAAATAAACCTTTTCTGCCCTAAGTTGCTTTTGTCAGGTTATTTTATCACAGTGACAGAAATGAAACTAGAATAGTTCCCAAGCAAGTTTCACAAAAAGAGAAGGAACATGCAAATCAAGAGTAACTAATAACCAGGGCTGGAGGCGTGGCTCCGGAGTTAAGAGCACTGGCTGCTCTTCCAGAGGACTTGGGCTCAGTTCCCAGCACCCACATGGCGACTAATAGTCATCTATAACTCCAGTTCCAGGGGCTCTGACGCCCTCTTCTGACCTCCATGGGCAATGCACAACATGGGTGAACTTACATATATATATACAGGCAATATACTCAAACACATAAAAGTAATAACTATTTAAAAAGAGTAGCCAATAACCCTCTACTCACAGCAGTTTCTATACAGAAACAGTGAAAGCACCCCAGCGCCTTCACAGGATCTCAATCTCCCCAGCTAACCCAGCTCTCTTCTCTCCTTTTCCTTTTTACTTTGCTTTCTCTCCCTTGAGCCAAATTTCTCTATTCAATATTTTGATGCAGTAGAGGACTCCTATGGGTTCTCCCATATCCTCAGCTGGCTCATTTGATGGCCATCAGTCATGTAGCAGGAGAGATGGTGGCATCTCCAGGTAGGCTGGCAGTCAGGTGGTACAGTCTTGGCTCTGAGGAAGGAGAACAAAGCTAATTGGCTTGTGTGGGAATCCATGCCCAGCCCAGGGCTCATTAGCAGCTGCTCTACACAGTTGAACTTCAGAGCAGGTACCATTTGCCCAAGAATAGCAATACTTCCCTTATTAGAAACAAATGGCCGGTCTGAAAGCAGGAGAATCTAAATTGCCAGAGAACCTTGGGAAGAGTAATAAACTTCATCTAGGTGAAGAATAATAAGGTCTTGTTTCTCATCTCTTTGGGTAAAGGTTGTCATAGGGGAATAAAGAAGTATTTTAAAATGAAACTGAGCAGAAGCCACAGTGAGCAAATCACAATAAATTTAGAATTTTGGTGGAGACCCAAATGAATGCCTCTTCCTGAGCTGCCCACACTGATATCATTTCCAGATTCTGTTTGTAGTATATGATTCAGAAATAAGTGCTGATTGGTGAGCAAGGCATTGCCAGAGTAAGCCAGGAGAGAATGAAAGTCCCCCTGGCCCTTGTCTCCTTCCCCAGCTCTGTTCTAGTAATAAATAAAAATAAAACCTTTAATTTTCAAGATGGTCTAAACATATATGAGTAATCAGATCAGGGGACAAGTTTAGCAGATACAGCATTAAGACTTCCAAACATAGTAGTTCCAAGGGAGCAGGAGGAGTTACTTTATCTCTCAGGAGCATGAGTGATTATGGTATACTACGTGTCACCTGGGAAGCTTGTGAAGGCAGCAAACAGGGCTCCTCCCTCGAGGGCTCAGAGTTGACCCAAGAACTCACCTTTCTAAACAAGCTCCCAAGTGATGCTTATGGTTTATTGGAAATGTATTTACTGCTAGCATTAGATCCCCATATCACGCATGTGTGCTTAATTGTGTCTAATAATTTTGTTTAAGTTGGTAGACTCTCTGCTCTGGATTCTCAAGGGGAAGAAAGGAACCCCCAGCTGAAGGGACCATGACAAAGACAGCCTCCAAGGAGCAAAACAAAACCCTTCAGAGGCCGCGTTTCACAAGCATCAATTCTGCCGGATCATCAGCAAGATTTCCCTTGTGCAAATTACTTAGCTATTCTTGTATCTTTCAACCTTGACTAAACTCATGATTTTTGAGGAGCATCTTCTGGTTTGAACTTGTTTGCTGTGAACAGCTGCCTAGAAAGAGCCTTTTAATGAATGCTTTTTCCATCTCAGCTATTTGTTGATTGGATTCAGGGCCCCAATCTGTTACCATTCACAATAAAAGCTTAAACACATTGTTCAAAGGGCAACTTGTCCTCTTATTTGAAGTCTAAATGAGAGGACAGTGTGGCAGAACTGAAACATTTTGACAATGTACTTTCCTGATCACTGATTAAGGCAGAAGGAATGGTTAGTTGTTGTCGCTGAAGGCCACTTACTGAGTAGTGATTAATGCCACCAGGTGGGGTGGAGATTGGGGGTTGGCCTGCTTCATCACGTAGTAATCCTCTTATCTTTGACACTTACCACATATGACCATGTGTATTGTTACGCTGATATAACCTTGGGATAGTCCCATGTGTTTAAAATTATCATCCTCATTTAACAGATGAGGAGACAAAGGAGCACAGAGGTCAGGTGACTTGCCCAGAGTCACATGGTAGATGGAACTGGAATCCAGACATCCACAGTCATCACATTTTCTGAATCACCCCATCCTAAGCCTCCCTTTCAGCATACATAGCAAGCAACGCTATTGTTTCAGAATTTCTTTGCCAGTCTGGGTGAAGTTCACCAGGCCAGATGCATTCAGGTTCCTCATAAAAGGGAAAGAAAAATTCAAGAGATTTCCTTCCAGGTCTAGAAGAATGTGTCCTGGCCCTTTGTTAACACTCACCAGTCCCATTTTTATTATGACATTTGCACATGAACAGACTTTGAAGCTTCTTGCCATATGTTTAGGCTTTCTTCATTTAGGAAAAAAAATCACATTTGAAATTTTAGATTTATTTTGCTCTTGCTTTGTCAAAGAAACATAAGAGGTTATGTGTTCTAAGATCTTTTAAAACAATGTTGATTCAAAACATCCAATCTGAGAACTATGAGAGATGTGTTTTCTGTGTCCTTCCAATCACCTCCTCAGGGCCCCTGTTGTCTGCCTTGGGGCTCTTTGGACCTCTTTCTCAAGAACTTGATCACAGGACTAGGGAGATGGCTCAATGGGTAAGAGCACTTGGTGCCCAAGCATAAGGATCTGAATTTGAATGCCCATCAATCACTAACATAAAAGCCAGGTGTGGCAGTGCACAGGCCTGAAACCTCAGCTTTGTGGAAGGCAGAGACAAGAGGGGCTTGTTGGCTTCCAGCTTAGCAGCAGGTTCAGTAAGAAGACCCTGTTTCAAGGGAATAAAGTGGAGAAGGACACACAATATCCTCCTCTGGTCTCTTAAGAGTGGGTTCATGCATTCACACATAATGTGTATACACACACACACACACACACACACACACACACATCCCAAAACGTCGAACTAAAACAAATTTGATCATGAGTTTTCTCAGCTAAAGCCTCATGCTGTTAATAAAAGAGAGGAAACTCAGAAGGCTCCTTCTTCCAACACTGCTGCGGGCCCTGCTGAGTTTTCTTAACAGTGGCATGGCAGGCAGGCAGGAGAGCCGATGACTGAGCAGCAAGTAGCAACTGGCCCCAGCAAGGCTGTCACTTGTTTGCTAGTCTCCTGAAGCAGATGTATGTCCTGTGTCACTTTTCTCCATGGGTTCTGGCTGAGACAGAAGAACGGCTCTCTCAACTCTGTGGGCCCCTTATAGGGGCCTTAGTGCCAGGCTTGAGGCAGCATTCAAACCCTACTATTTGAAAGGTAAGCTCTTCCCTACCAGGAGGCATTGCTTCCTCATCACCTGGCTGGCAGCCTAGAGCATGGTGTCCAGCAAGCCTCTTCCACTGGGACTTGCTCCTAAATCCATTGTGAATGAACATGTCTTTGCTAAGATTTAGAGCACATAACTATACCTGGCTGCAAGGGCAGCTGGGAAGTGTAGTTTCCAAGCTTCTTCTTTGAGAACATGGTACTAAAATCATGGGACCTACCAAAAGGGGAGAGGATAGGTATAAGACAGGGTCAATCACAAATAGCCAATGTTGCCTCCTTCAAAAAGATTTTCCCCATTGAGCTTCTGTACTCTTATGCCAAAAACCAGTTAGCCTTCAGCCTGGGGTTCTGGGAAAGTAGGGTACAGGGGAGACTATAGAACTGCTGTCTATAGCACACAGTCCAGCTGTGTACACAGCAAGAAGAGAAGAGTACTTCTAACAGGAGGCAATATTGGGAAATCCTTACACAATTAGGGCAATTAAGATGAGGCATCTGAAAGGGAAGGCAGCAATAGCAGCCTCAAATTCAGTCTTTTGAGTGTGTGTGTGTGTGTGTGTGTGTGTGTGTGTGTAAGTGCTATGGGGTAGATTGCCCTGGGTAATCTGACAATCTTCACTTATGATCAGAGGTTCATAACACACTAAACGGGCAGCTCAAGCAATGCAGTACAATTTTCAGCCTCAAAATGCACCCTTCCAGTTCCCATTGGGGGTGTTTGATCATCACAGAGCACTCTGACCCAGCTGGGATGGAGCGGGAGTAATCTAAGCAGAGTGTGGGCACTGCATCATCCACTCCTACCAAATGGACTGCTTGATTCAGACACCGTGAACTGTTCACAATAGGTCCTCAGCCATGGACTCTGTCCATTCCCAACATGCAGTAGGTTGCTGCAATAAGGAGATTCCTGCCTTAGCCTGTCCTATTTGTGTCTTCTCATTACTCCACTCAAATAAAGCCCAGATACGACCTTTCTTCAGCTCCCCTAGCTTCCCTCCCACTGTACACGGTCCACATATATCATCTAGTGTGTGGCCTGGTAGAAGAGGCAGATTGTTACCGTGACCCTGAGTGCCTTGAGAGGCCATTGATCAATGTATAGGGATGAGTCATAGTCTGAAGGGACCTCTCATAACCTCAAGGAAGAGCATGACAGCACTGCTTTCTGACATCAGGATCACATCTTACTTTTCTTGAGTGCTGTCTGATGATATTTTTAAATGTAAAAATCCTTTCAGAGGAAACTGGGAAGACGTCTCAGTCACTAAAGCACTTGCCATGCAAGCATGAGGACTTGAGTTTAGATTCTCATGTAAGGGGAGGTAGAGACAAGTGGATTCCTGGACCTTACTGGCCAGCCAACCTAGCCAAGTCAGTGAGCTCTGGGTTCAAGTAAGAAACTTGTCTTAAAGTGTAAGTTGGAAACCCATTGAGAAAGGCTCCTGATGTCAACCTCTGGCCTCTACATGCATTTGCATACATATACACACACCACATGAACACGTATATACAACACATACACACACACACAAATCCTCTCAGACTATTTTAATAAATTATTTTCGGATGAAATTTCTTTTAATGTCTTACACTAATCATTGACAACTCAGAGCCCTTTCTGGATATTTGCGGCAATTTGATTTTTAGTTATATCTATATTGATTGGAGACTGTTTTTAAGCACATGTGACAAAACTGAACTAAACAAAACAGTATCTATGGTTTAAAGAGGACAGAGGTTTAATTTTTCTCAACACAAAAAAGGCTAGAGGCAGGCAGTGGGTCAGTGTAGTGATCCATATATTCAGAGGGCTTTGTGATTTCAGTCACATGATGGCTGCAGCATCATGGAGGAGAAAGGAAACAGTGAAGAGTAGGGTCTATACTATGAAGGCAAAGCTCTCCCAGAAATCTTCAGTGTTTGTGTTTTGATTTGAACTCTATGATGTGATCAATCACTGCTGGCAGCCAACGAAACAGAAATGTCATTTTCAGAACAGGACACTGTTACTGTATCACACCTCTAGCTCCCCCTTCAAAAAACCACTAAAACAAAAACATTCCTACTTAATAAGAAAAAGAAGAGGATGGATGCTGATTAGGCAGCTAGTGGTCTTCTCCATGTCAGCTAGGATGAGGGTGGATCCTGGAAAAGAGCCAAGATGGAACTAGGGGCTGCTATGTCCAACATGACCAGAAGGCTCTTAGACAATGGGTCTCCATATCTGCTCCAGATCCACATTTCATTCTGCATGTGGTATGCCAGAAACTCACAGTTTACAGACAGTGTGCTGTCTTCCTGGCCTTGCCTCTTACATCCCTGAAAGCAAGAGGCTGTAGTAAGGACCATGGTTTTTTTGTTTGTTTGTTTGTTTGTTTGTTTCTTTAGGATGGATGTCATCTTAACTTTTGAAATTAAATCCAAGATGGGACAATTTCTAAGTATCTATTCACACAAGAAAACTACACTCCATGCTCTATCACATCCATCTGTCCTCAGGGTTACATTATGGATATGCACATGTGGGAGGTACATTTACACTCCTCCACTTTCCCTCAAGATCAGGGGTCTAGGTAAGCAAAGTACACCAGGTAAGTAGTCTAGACTCTGCAGAGTCTACACCTTTGTTTCCCTGTGGTCAGACTCTAATTGGTTGGAAATGAGTGAACAATTCTACAAACTCTAGATGGAAAATAGACTATTGCAGACCTTTAAGAATAAGCATGGTATCAAGTAGGATTCCTGTGACTGTTAATAGTGGAAAACGCTCAACTTGGTTGTCATAAGGAGAAACAGGCTATCTCGTGTGTGTGTGTGTGTGTGTGTGTGTGTGTGTGTGTGTGTGTAACTCCAGAGGAAGGTGGGGACAGTGGTGCTTAGGAATATTTTGTTTGATTTAACTCAGTGCCTTGGAGATATCTTCAGAAGGGCCCAGGAGATGACTCAGTGGATAAAGGCGCCTGACATCAAGCCTGATGACTTGAGTTCAGTGGAACCCACGTGGTGGAAAGGAGAGAGCTGACTTCCACAAGTTGTCCTCTGACTTTCATATGTGGCATGTGTGTCTCTATCCTCACGTAAATAAATGAATGTCATAAAAATTTAAAGATATCGTTAGGGATAAGGGTCTTGCTATCTTTTCACTTTGACAGTATTTCAGTTGTCTCTTTAAATTTTATTTAAATATTTATTTTATTCTTAATCATGTGTATATGTGTGTGGGGAGGAGGTATGTGTACATGAGTACAGTGCCTGTTGAATCCAGAAAAGGGCACTGGATCCCCTGGAGCTGGAGTTACAGGCAGTTGTGAGCTGCCTGACATGGGTGCTGGAAGCCAAACTTTGGTCCTCTGCAAGAACAATATGTGTTCTTAACCACGGAGCCATCTCTCTAGCTTCTCTTTTTTTTTTTTTTA